AGTGAGATAGAAGTTTACTTTTCTTGCTGGATTGGTACATCTTATGGGAGAATAACCACCAGTTTTTGCGTGTATCTGCCCTTTTTCCCAGCAGCTTGTCCTGAATTTGGTATTCTCCGTTGTGACCCACGGAGGCACGGTGACACTGTGTTAAACATAAACGATTAAAAAAAATAAAGGGAAAGGAGCATTTTTCTTCTGCATAGTAAAGTTTCAAAGCTGTCTTACGTCAATGTTCAGTTGTAAACTTTTGAAAGAACTAACACGTTTTCTTCACAGTTATGAACATTTCAGAGTTACGAACAACCTCCATTCCCAAGGTGTTTGTAACTCTGAGGTTCTACTGTACTCATCTAACTTTTATTTTTAACCTTCTTTTCCTTTCTGTCTTTCTCCACTAGCTCCTTTCCACACTGATCATGATGCTGTTTTCCTGCATGTTTGTATGTCTTCTTCCTCTTTGCCGCTATCCCCTTAGACCTTCCCCTGCATTATGTTCTCTACATCCTGCCCTATACTCTCTTCACCCCATAAAGTTTCTCTATCACACTTTTCTTATTTCTTACATTTATCTTTCCCCACGCATGTACCTACAGCTTGAAAATTTTATCACAACGTATAGCAAAACGATTAAGGGCAACACCCAGGTGAGAAGCCAAATGTCTTGGAAAGGTTGCCGGATTCTTAACAAGGGGCGGTCACTGGACCCATGTGGAGGCTTCATCTTTCGTGTCAGTGTCCAGTTAGGAGGAGTCAGAGTTGCAGAACCTTACTCTCTCCGCTGTGACTAGCAGAAGGGGAAAACATCATTCTCTGTAAGCCTATCTGCTGCCGCAAGATTGGTACTCTGACACTCTCCTCTCATAGCCTTTGATTCTGGTACCCTTTTTCAACGACTAGATTTCCAGGTCTACTTCCATTGTTGCTTTCACAAGCACAAGAATAAAATTAACCTGTTTGTATTATTTTCAGTGTTGCTCAAAAAACTCTGAACAGCATCAGTGAAATCTGACAAAATTCCAGTGAGTTTTTATTCTCTGACAACCTGACAAAGGTACAGTAGAACCTCAGAGTTACAAATACCTCAGGAATGCAGGTTGTTCGTAACTCTGAAAAACACATTATGGTTGTTCTTTCAAAAGTTTACAACTGAACATTGACTAAGTAAGGTTTCAAAGCTGTATCATGCAGAAAAAAAATGCTGTTTTCCCTTTTTTTAGTAGTTTAGGTTTAACATAGTACTGTACTGTGTTTTATTTAATCTATACTGCTGCCTGATTACATACACCTCTACCCCGATATAACGCTGTCCTCGGGAGCCAAAAAAATCTTATCGCATTATAGGTGAATCCGCGTTATATCGAACTTGCTTTGATCCGCCGGAGTGTACCGCCCCGCCCCCCCGGAGCACTGTTTTACCGCGTTATATCCAAATTTGTGTTATATCGGGTCACGTTATATCGGGGTAGAGGTGTACTTCCGGTTCCAAATGAGGTGTGTGGTTGACTGGTCAGTTTGTAACTCTGAGATTCTACTGTACAAGTACCTCAGAGAGGCACTGGAGCTGTCTGTCTGCAGAGTTAAGACAACATTTAATCAGTTTATATTTGGTTCGTGGTTGTTTAGAAGGTTGTCATGACAACCACTATGGCTAGAATTTAAGCTTTTATTTAAAAAAAATCTCTGTAGAAGTTGATAATATTCATCCAGGAAAGCTGCCTGTTCACTAACATCAAACTCATTTTTCAAGCCTCGATGATCATCCTCTGTCAGGTGTGCTTTAACATATGGCAAGTCATAAGTTTTGTCCCAACAAGATGTCAATTAGTTTACAAAAGCAGTCATTCCAGCTGCAATTATTTGCATGACTTGACATGTGATAGATTAGTTCAACTGCCTAGTTTGTTTGGTCTACAAGTAGATATATATGTTTTTTTTATATAGGCTGCTTACACAGAGACAAAAAAAGTTATTACTTTCTTGCTTAAATTTCTGTTCATAACACTGAGGAAAAATTAGCTTTCTTAGGAGTCAGTTCAGTGGTTCTCTACCAGGGCTACCCCTTGGGGGTACTCAGGTCTTCCAGAGGGTACATCAACTCATCTAGATATTTGCCTAATTTTACAATAGGCTACTTAAAAAGCATTCACAAAGTCAGTACAAACTAAAATTCCATATAGACAATTACTACTTTATACTGCTGTATATACTATACACTTAAATGTAAGTACAATATTTGTATTTCAATTAACTTATTTTATAATTATATGGCAAAAAAGAGAAAGTAAGCAATATTTCAGTAATGATGTGCTGTGACACTTGTATTTTTATGTCTGATTTTATAAGAAAACAGTTTTTAAGGGGGGGGGAAGTGGGGGGGGGGGGGAGTACGCAAGACAAATCAGACTCCTGACAGGGGTACAGTAGTCGGGAAAGGTTGAGAGCCACTGAGTTAAAGGGAATATCCACGGAGATCCAACACTGTATTACTGGGTAATATGCAGGGAGGTCCAGTTAGGATTTCATTCCCAATCCAATTTTCCCTCCTTAAGAATTGAATTATGGTCAGTTTTCAAATATATGCAGTATTAAAAGCTCACGCGTTTTTTTGGGGGGGAGGGGGAATGCAAGGAGGGAGGGAAGAGGGCCACATGTGCTGTAGGTAGGAGGGAGGAAGCAAGAAAAATTCAGACTGATTTGGGATGATGTACTCAGTGGCACATCTACACTGTCACCATGTTCCCATAAACTGATTATGAATTTATGATTACAGACCTGAATTAATATGCTTCATGGGATCTTTCAGGAGCCAAGTGAGGAAAGAAATGAGATGAAATAGTTTCATTTCTGAAGAGCAATTTTAAACTAGTTAGTGAAGTCAAAGCATTTGCAGCATAATTAAATTTTCAAATAACCCTAGAGAGTTTCCATAAGAAACACTGATTTCTGCTTCACTCTTTCTGAAATCAATCCATTTTCAGAAGCCATTTGAAAATGACATAGGTCCGTTTCAAAAGCTTAAACTAGCTGGATGAAGAGGGCTATAAAACAATTCATACCATAGGTAAAATATATATTTGACGAAACATGCATAAATTAATATGCAAAATGCACATTTTTCCAAACAGCTTTCTGAGTGTCACTGATGTCAATAAGATTAACATCTGTCTCTAAACGTGACAAACTGCAGGTCTCAATGCGGCAAGAAGCTGTTCTTTGGAAGAGCACTCCCAATTAGGAGCTATTTCTAAGACTTTACTTTCAAGCACAAAAGGATAAAAATATATTGCTAAATGACTGATAGCTACTTGGAAGTTAATGATGTTTCTTCGGTTCTGGTTAGCAAGAACATATCTGACACAAACATACAAAAGAGGAAAACAGTCTGCAAAGTTAAACACAAATTATATCTTATGCCTAAACTATCTTATCTCTAGGCTGGAAATCTACAGTTTATGGTTGAGCAGTCAGCCTTGGACATTTTCTCCCATTTTCATCTCTACATGAAGTTCTGATCACTTAAATTATTCAGGAACAAAATATTTCAAAAGATCTGGACTTTTGCAGTTAAAGTTGCAACTAGGCCAGTGATTTTTAACCTATGAATCATTACACCACTTATAATCCATTTTCAGATAAATCAGATTTGACCAGCTGCTCACAATTAGTCCTCAAGTGTCAAAATTAACTATGGCATGGAATCATGAGACACCTAATTTTAAGCCCAAGGGGAAACAGATTGAGACAGCTGAGGAGGGCCATTTCAGTCACTGAATATAGGTTCATAATATGAACAAGACTGATAAACTCTGACCCAGGCAAATATAGTTTATTAAAATAGTCTATGTAACTTGATTTTCCCTTTGATATTTACACTGATAAATAACGAGAAAACTAAATCAACAGATTTTATGAAAGATTTCAGAAACAAAGGTTCCCTATAACAAGATGAACAATCTGCTGAACACGCAATTATTAATACATACAAATTTTGAAACAGGAGCATAGTAAAAACTATTTTTAATATCCTAGTTTTTTTAGTTCTTAAGTCATCACTTCCCTCTCCACCAAAAATAGTTTTATTTGTATCAAATTTAATTTTTATAAATGAAAAAAATAAGGAAGGCTTTGAAGTACTTGCAATACCACCAACACAGACTTGTTTTTAACTCAATTTAGGTCTTAAATGAATATTCTGCTGTATAGACAATAGCACTGTGATGCATATAAATTTAGAAAACAACACCTATAATGCCAGAGTTCCAGCCATTATGGAAAGAGTTAATTCTTCTCAACTATGCAGGAAACTTAACTATATTAAAATTAGCGTAGTCATAGACTAATCTCTGCTGTTACAACTATATTCAAGTAATTTCTAGAAAGTGATCTTTTCCTTTATCTAGATACAACACATGGTACAGATTGTCTAGTTATTTTATGGCTTCATCACAGTAGCATTCAAGTTACCCCCGTCACTATCTAGTCTCTCAGTCCAACTCACTCGCTCACATATAAGCTTAAAAAGCTAAAAATCTTCAGGATGTTTTCATTGGAAGACACAAGTATATTAAACAAATCTTATTGTTTATTCTTCTGTGCACATGCACAACTCATCAGTATTTGTGAGATTTACAAGTGTCCATCAAGGAAAGGTAAATTCCCCTGGTTTTTAAATTTAAAAAAAATTTAAAATTCTTCAGTGGGAAGAACTGAGCGGGCTTCGCACACGCACCGCGGGGGAGGCTGAGAGCGCCACGCCGCCCGGGGGGGGACAGAGACAGGAGCCGGGGCAGGTGTCGGTGGGGGAGCCGAGGGGCTTGGGCCGCTAGTGCAGGTGCTGCGCCGGGTCAGAGCCGGGGCGGCTCGGGCCAGCGGGAAGCGGTCCCCGGCGGGGGCCGGGGGGCAGCAGCAGCCCCTGCGCTTGGAGCCCGGCTCTGCGGGGAGGGGACGCGGGGCGGGAGGCAGGTGCAGGGACGCCCGGCGGAGGAGGGGGCAGGTACCGGTATTTCCTGAAGAGCTGGTCGGACTCGCGGAAGCCGTTGTTCAGCAGCAGGTTGATCCCGGCCAGCGCCAGCTCCGCGTCCTCGATGGGCAGCGGCGACTCCTCGTCCTCCAGCGGCGGCAGCGGCTGCTGCGACCCGGCCATGGCGGCGAGACCGAGCCGGCTCCCCGCGCTCCTGTCACCTCCGCCGGGATGGAGGCGGGAGGGGAGCCGGCCGGCGGCGCCGCGCACGAGAGAGGAGGAGGAGCCTGGGCCGCTCCCTCGCTGTGGTGCCCGCTGCGGTGCCGAGCCTGCTCACGCACCCCCTGCTCTACGGCAAAGACTTTGATAATGCGCATGCGCGATAGACCTGCGCGTGGGTGACGAAGCTGTTGCCCTTGCCGCCTATCCGCTTTTGCTGCTGCAGCCGCCGGGCCGGGGGTGGAACGGGGCTGGAGGGGCCGCGCGGCGGTTGCCGCTGGGCGCGCGCGGGGCTCGCGAGCGCCGAGAGGGGCCAAGCCGGGGAGAGGGGCCGCGAGGGCAGCATCGCTGCCAGGCCCAGCGGCGGGGCGCTGGGAAGGGCTGGGCTCGGTCCAACTCCCTCCGCCAGTTCCCAGCCTGGGGTGCAGCCAGCGGCTGCGTGGAGCGATAGCGAGCTGTGCCCGCAAAGCGCAGAGCTGGGCGACACGGGTGTCCCGTGCCCGCAGTGATCGACCACCAGCTTGGGAGGATAAGCAGGAGGATTTGGGACGCAGTCTGCAAAGGGATCCGTACAGAGGGGCCCTTAACTGCACAGAGTCAGAGGAACCTGAAGAAGAGCTCTGTGTCGCCCCAAAGCTTGTCTCTCTCCCCAACACAAGTTGGTCCAATACAAAATATTACCTCACCCACCTTGTCCCTCCAGAATCCCACCCATGCACAGTGAGGGGCGGCAGGCTTGTATTCCACTAGGCAGCTTACAAGTACAAAACTGCAATTGTACACATTGGGTTTTAAGCATTTTCATCCTGTAATGCACAAGAGAATGTCTCATGGACCAGCTCCCTTCCACACACCTGAAATCCCCCCCTCCCAGCAAACTTCCTCAAAATATTAATTCTGTGGACTCCAGTGCACAGGCTGGGTTGGAGGTTTTTTGGAGGGGGATGGGGCAGGAGTCCCATGTACAGGGTAGGAGGAAGTTTGTACCTAGAGCTTTTCTGAGTTTCCTTCCTCACCCTTTGCATTTTCTCATGTCCTTCTCTCAACACTCCCTCTCTTCACTGCATTGGTGCACATAGCACATGCAGCAGCATGAGTGCTCTCCAGCTGCACAGCTAGCAGAAGAGCTATTAATAGTTCCGAGTCCTTGTGCAGAATCCTCTGTTTCCCTCATGTCAGACATAGTGTCTCAGGCTGCAGCAGCTGAACCCCCAGAGCTGGGTAGCGGGGAAGCTCAGCCTTTCCTTTCTCTGCATTGCAGCGTTCACTTTTCATTGCATTTTTTAAAATGATTTTACTGCTGGTGAAAGAGAGTGAATTCACTGCCTTACAGACTGAAGGTTTTTGGTTTTTCCTAGCGCAATGCCTTTGCAGCTCTCCCTATGCCCTTCTGCCAATGGGCACCACTCATATGAGTTTACCCCACCACTCACTAGAGGTGCTGAGAGCCATTGAACCAAACTGTAAACCTTGTATATAACAGAAACCACTTCAAGCCAGGGGGTGTGGCAGCATCCCTAGTTCCAGCACCTATGCCTCTCACCAGTGTACCTACCAGTGGTAATGGGAACTTCCCCCTGAAGTTGACTGTAAAGGCTAACGTCCATGCCAGAGCAGCCCTTTTTTTAGTTTCATTTGAATCCAAATCATGCAGATCAGTGAGTGAGCTATGGACAAGTGTACTACCATAAAGGTATCAATCCTAACCCAAAAAATTATAATTTAACACACTGTTAAACTCCCCCCACCTTCCCTAAACAAGAGACTGTTCTTCCTGGATTCAGTTTTGTTAAGATACAAGACTTCACAGCCACCATCTTCACAGTCCTGAAACCCTCCAAGAAATTTGAGTGGAGCAAAATACAAATCTGTTTATCTTCAGGGTAGGTACAGAACAAGGAAAAGGCAGCTCTACGGTATGCTTTTTGGTTTCCCTTACACCTAGAAGGGATGGGATCGAGGCAGCATCACCGCCCCTCAACCTGGTGTAAAATAACACTGACCAAGTTAGAATCACACTCTGAGGTGTGATTCTGGGGGCAGCCACGTGACCATGCAATCAGTGAGTCCAAGAAGAAATGCAGAAATACATGGTCTGTGGGTTTCCTGACAGCTACAGATATTGAAGGCTAATCCCTCTGCCACTGAGAAGCAAACAGCCACCCCTCTATTTCCTAAATTCATAACCCAATAACTTTAGCATAGGGTCCTGTGTTACAGAATATCAGGGTTGGAAGGGACCTCGGGAGGTCATCTAGTCTAAACCCTCTGCTCAAAGCAGGACCAATCCCCAGACAGATTTTTACCCTAAATGGCCCCCTCAAGGATTGAGCTCACAATGCTGGGTTTAGCAGGCCAATGCTCAAACCACTGAACTATCCCTCAGTGTTCATCCCTATTGTTCTGTGGATCCAGTGTGTAAGGAGCTAGGAATCCTTGCAGTTTTGTCTCCAGACCTAGCTTCTCTAGACCATTTTGGCAGAGCTACTACTGCTAATCTATGTTCTGTACCAAATGCTGTTGTTACTACTCAGCAACCAATTGTCTATCTTACAGTTAGGTAAATTACCACTTCAGAAAAGTATAAGTCTATGGAATAGTTTTGCAGCATAAGACTGCATTTCACTCGTACAAGGAGAAATGTAATCTATTTAAAATCAGTGACAGGGCAATGTGACTTTTGCAGTGTGAGTTTTACTGCCTATTAGCTATAGTTTTATAGTGCCTCTATTATAAACTGCATTTCAGCTCTTCAGTGCAGAGCAGATCAGCAGTTGAGATCAGCAATGCTGCAAGTTGCATTGTGTGTTGCATAGTGATAAGGGCTTTAGCAGATCTGAGGATGGATTAAGGTTGCTGATTCAGTTTACAAGATGGGCTGTGGTAATGAGAAAACCTAACTGAACAGAGCAACATATGGGATTTGTACTGGTTAATGTGTCCTTTCCACCCCACCTTCCCCCTAAACCACCACTCATTCTTAATGTCACTTTAGTAGTTCATAACGTATGAAGTGCATTTGTACAGCATTATTCTTTTTAAAGAGTGTTTTATTACTAATTAATTATTCCTCAATACACCTCTTTGTAGCAATGTAGCATTATTATCCCTTTTTCAGAAACAGAGAAGATACACATCCATAGTTGCATCATTTTCATCTTACTTTGAAGATTTCTAATGCTACCATGCATTTGAAGTAAATTTTATAAATAACTGTCAATGAAACATTGATTTTTGGGAAAAGGATCTCAGAAAACTGGAAGAGAAATACATTTTATCAGAAGTTGGACTTATTTTATTTTTGCATAGCTCAAGTCCCACATATCCTGTTTTTGAACCTTGAGGTCAGTCTAATAAACTTTTCTTACATTCCAGTAACTGATCACAAATGAACTCTAAACAGAACTAAAACTTTGTAAACTTAAAACTTTGTGGATGAAAATGGGTCACTAATGAGATAATGGAGCCTTTCATCTCTAAGTCACAAATTCAACTTTAATCCAGTTTGGTAATGGCTGAAAATTATTACCATATGATGGCTCTTAAAAAGTCTATATGAAATGATATTATGTTTCCAGTCCAGTTTCTAGTGGCTAGATACCCAAACTATAAAGCCACCATCACAGTTGGCTCTCATTAACATGTATGTTGACAGTCTCAACAGAGAGGTCAATCAATCACTGAATGTCCCTGACAAATTATCCTTTTTCCCTTAGAAGAGCTCCCTCCAATGCAGTATGAAGAAGCCTGCAATGCTGCTGCCTGTCCTATACTTGTTTTATGGATAGACAGAGATCTTCCTTCCAACTGTCGGACCAACATTTTTCAAGGTCAGTAAAATTCATGGGGCAAACAAGAATTGTACTCTTTAATTAACTAGCCACAATTTTCACTCTAGCTTCCAGGATAGCTTATTTAAAAAAAGGATGCTAGCTACATTATTCATATCCTTTAAGAGCTATGAGACTGATTTACAACTATCGTGTGTAGTAGAGGAGAATCAGAGTGGTAGCTTATTACACTCACTTTGTAAATGTCTGTTGTCACACTTCAGGGGGAGCTGTATCTTTGACCCCACATTCAGACTATCTGTGGACACCCCTTTAAAGTGACAGGCCTGCACTTGTGGAACCCTTCTGCCAGGTGTTGACAGCAGCAGAAAAGGTTGGGTTCATTTTCTAAGGGCTTTCTTGAAGACTTAACGAACGCCAGCTTGAACCACCACCCAAAAACCTAGGAAATTACATTTACCACCATAGGCATCATCACAGTTGCCAGGCGGACTGAAGTTGGGACTCCTGTTAAAGCCCGCTACGGGGTTGGAGTCTTGCCTCAGAGAATTTGTGGCTTTATTAATATCTGGCTTTCCCAAGTTTATTCTGTTGTATTCTGCCCTCTTTCTCACCTTAATAAAGTTCTCTTTGTTTTAACCCCTAGACTCAGTGCCTACAAGTTGGGAAGTACTGTATATTGCCCAATGTGGCTGGTGCAGTCTAGCCATTTCTCTCCTCCTCACTCACAGTTAGTTGACCTGGGTTGGAAAACTCTAAGCACGCTGGCAGTCCAGTGCTGCCTGGACTACACTGGGAACGCTACCATCTAACCCAGCTGGAGTATTTCAGCTTTAATTGCATGGTAGGGAGGTCCACACCAGAGTCTCTTGGGTTGGCTGCTGCTGTCTCTGCAGCATCAACCCAAACTGCCACAGCTCTGCTCCAGCCACTGCTGCTCTGCACCATCTATCACTTTGAAAGCGCCACTGCTACTCTGCATCGTCTGTTGCCTCAGAGCTTCCACCACGGCTCGGTACCATCCACTGCCTCAAAGCCACCCTCAGCTCTGTACCATGCACTGCTCTGTAGCAGTCTCAGCTCAGTCCTTTTAGAAGGACCAGTACCATGTAGGAACCTTAACTGAGTCCTCATCACCAGAGAGGCACACCCAACAAAAGA